AAAGGTTTCGGAAACCGTTACCATATCGACAATGTATGTGTCACTGATTGATTGATTGGTTGGTTGGTTGATGTCGCAATTTTTCAGCTATGTGGCGGCGGTCTGTAAATAATCGAATCTGGACCAGACAATACAGTGATCAGCAGCATGAACATCGATCTGCGCATTTGGAATACGATGACCTGTGTCAACCAAGTCAGTGAGCCTAACCACCCGGTCCCGTTAATGACAACATGAGCCTACTTCAAAGGATATTTATTTTGAACCCCACCTTTTACTTATATCATTGGGGAGTAGTTCAATATCATTTTTATGGCCTTTACCCCCAGTACATATTTTTAAAGGCGGTTTACATCAAGCTTCTATGATTTCATAAACACCTATGGTATTGTGTCTTCTCATGATCATGGTATTTTCACAATTACCGAAAATTTGATTACTATCTGGTAGAAATGTTCTAATTTGTATTGTGTTCCAGTTTGATGAAACACTCTGTTTTGGTGCTTGCACTGAAGAGCATTTGATACCTACACATATGGCTATGCTTCTGTTAACTACTTACTAGAGACTGGCTGTCGTTATATAGTCAGATATTATATAGTCAGATTTATACCTTAGAATCTGGGTTTCAGCCAAGATTTCTCGCGCACATGTATATAGAAAGGGTTTTGTTACTATTAATTTGAAAGCCACAAAAAAACTGCCCTCAAAAACAATCCTATTGAAGCAAAAGCAAAACCTCTAGTTGATATTATCTGACAAATATCAATGCGTCGGGATTATATGTACTGTAATGGTGTACTGTTCGGATATTGTCATAGTCGGGAAAACTATGTGTTTCTGACCAGTCTGGCAATATGTATATAACATAATCGTAAATCGCCTTCATTTACTGCAAGTTCAGTTGTGGCAGAAAGGATCGAGAAGAATGGAAACCACCTCACTTATCTCACCATATTTTGCCATCCGTAGCAGTACACATAATATTGGACGGTGCTTAAAACTATAATCATTAATTTTGATTCTGGGCACTGCGTTGAAAAGAAACATTTTCAGGGGACCATAGATTCCATGGCACTAAGGGTCTATGGATAGTGGTTGATGTCGTAATCGACGTTAAACTTTGATGCCCCCTTGGTCATCAATCAGTTAAGAATAGATAGTGGTTGGAACATATGCTACCCCTGTATCAGTGGCATTTGTTATTGACATGAACAATAAATGCACAGTTTTAAATAATATTAGATACATGCTAGGATATGCATTACTGCATGACGTAATCCATGAATACTATTGAAGATAATGAAATCAGTCATAAAAGGATGAATGTTAATTAAAGTCGGGATGGAAATAGGACATTTTTAGTTTTGATTGACTGGATTAAGGTGACAGCTTGCACCTGGGTTGTTTAAGCTAATACTGTATGCAATAGTGGCATCATGACCAGACATAAGAATCTCTTTGTTAACGCTTGGTTAACTTCTTGCACGACAAGAAAGGCAAATGAGGTAAGTGATGGGTCTGCGTGTAACATTGTTCCTTTAACTGTTTAAATGCATGTACAGACATACTTCTTGCAACGATATGTATCTATTACCATTTTGTGATTCATACATGTATGTAACATATACTGACAGAAACAAATAAAGGAACACAGTACAATTCAAGTGTTCCTTTATTATTTTCCAGTTTTCATAACTAGCTTTGAATAGCGCTGCGGGAGGAAATCAGAGAATAAATATAGGATCACAGCCATGAAGTGGTGTTCCCTTATTTGTTTCCCTCAGTATATATAGGTTGTACATAATAATGATGTAATCATGTATATCTAATGTCGCAGAACGCATCGGGAGTGTAAATAAAGTTCAGTTCAGTTAGTGTTCACATTGCTCTACCAAAATCCGTGATGTTGTACAAGCGAATGTATTCATTGTGATCCACTCCTGTCATATTTACATAATGTTTATTGTATTTTAACGGTTTGTTGAATGTGTACATTTGTGTTTGCTGCTTAACGCCATTAGATAATCGAATTTGGACCAGACAATCCAGTGATATGACCCATGCTTCAGGTTATCGGCGTAAAGAGACAGGTTATCGACTAAATCGTGGTTGACATGTCCCTTGAGTCACCCAGTGGGCTAAACGAAGGTTACAGTGAAGCCAAATAAATAAATAAACACAAGGGGTGACCTTTTTAAATGATAATAGGGTAATTTAGTAATCATCCCTGTCAGCTACGGCTTAACTACAAATATATCATCATATTTTGTTTATATATTGACTGCTGAACTGAGCTGTTAAATAATGCATACAGAAGTCGTTTTGTGTTGTGAAATTAAGCACATTTTGTAAGTTCGTGATACGGCCTTCACATATAAACGTTCAGTGATGCATACGAACTTCTACGTCGGTATCAAGGCTATAAAAGAACCGTCCGAAAACATAACTTCTTGGCATCAGTATGTTTTATCAATATTAAATCAAACATACAAATTACAGTGATTCCAAACGGATATTGTCAAACTGAATGGTCTATCAATAACTATCTCAAAACAGTCTTTAATAACAGCATCCATGAAAGATCGTTTTAACGTAAGTTCGTCTTTTAAATCTTGGATTTTTCAAAGGAATTGAATTATGACACAAATTTTGATTGATATGTTTTGTAAATAGATACATGATATTATATAATCGGTGGTTTAAATTAACAACCGAGATGGTTAGTGGCTGTATCCTTAAAGGGAGTTAAAGTATTGTAAACTTATTGTCCTCCTGAAAGGATATGCCCCAAAACTTTCAAAGTAAATTTACGTGTATTATCGTTGTATTATGGTCGTTGTTTTAAGTAATGGCTATATCTCAGCGCAAGGTAGCGTGTGGTGTAAATCCAGCTAGGGCCAAGGTAGCAAAGGTACTGTAAGTCCCCATGATCCCTAGTATGGTGATCTACCTTCAGTTGGTAACAAGCTACAACCTGTATTTTAACTGTATTATAACGGTATCTTGTGTTAAATAGAATATTTTAATATTTGAAATCAGATAACAATTGCCTTCCACTGATTTACCCGCCGGACAAGTGTGACCGCCTTAACTGTTTCATATTTAGATCTATGCATAAAGATTCAGAGTGACAAAAACACTCTCCACAAAGCTGTGATTTCAACTTTCCAATAGTCAAAATCTCTTTCATGTCAAGCAATATTTCAACAGCTCCAGCCTTTGGTGTTTATATTTCACAAGTTTTGAGGTACAATCGAGCGTGCTTTCTTATCAGGATTTCAAATTGCGTCTTGCCACTCTTGCCCAGAAGTTGTTTTATCAAGGTTACAACATTCAAGGCCTCAGTAAAGCCTTCAAGAGGTTTTATGGTAGACATGTGGAGGGAATTTCCAAACTTGTTGCATCAGTGACACAAATTATGTCGGATGCAATTCCCTATTTTCACTTTTACCATACGTTCCAGAATTATTTCAGGTAAACAAATGACTAGACTTAGCATATGTTTATGACGGGTGCCACCGGTGGGGCAGGATACGCTCACCTTTACGCCAACACCTGGTTTCATCACTATTTAATAATGATTCATTAACACATGCTCTGTCATCGTATCGCATGGTAACAATCACTGGACTGTCTGGTCCAGACTCGATCTGTTTACAAACTACATCGTACAGCTGTAATACTGTTCATGATATAGTCACAATTGTACAATAGACTCTGCTTTTAGCAGAGATTTCTTATGAATATGGAAAGGGGTTCTGTTAAGACATTATCACATCTTGCTAATATTTTCTGTCATTTGATGCCGATATTAAATAGATTTAACACAACTCTTTTCGACGGCTGAATATTGACGAGTTGTTTCGATTGATGTACAAGTTATAACCTTGATGTACAAGTTATATTGGCTGTACCGAAAGAAATAATACCCCACTTAACATCATCACATCAATAACAAAACATTATATTTTCACCCGAAGATCAAAAAAGATGGTGCCAGGATTCAAAGAAATCCAAAAGGAGCTAACTGACTATTATAGACTACCTAACTATGCAGCCTCCATAAATTCAAATATCGACACGTTTTATAAGTACTGGTCAAGTTGCCATTTTAGTTATTATGAATTGTACTGAGTATGCGCTACTGAAAAAAGGCAACAGAAATATAAAAAGAAATATTTAAAAAAGTAATCCAGCTATATGGCGTGGTCTGTAAATAATCCAGTTTGGACCAGACAATCCAGTGATCAACATCATGAGCATCGTTCTACGCAATTGGGATTCCATGCCATGTGTCAACTAAGTCAGAGAGCCTGACCACCCCATCCCGTAAGTCGCCTTTTACGACAAGCATGAGTTACTGAAGACTAATATAATCAATTCTAACCCGGATCTTCAGGGGTAAATTACCTTTGAAACATGCTCAGTGATTAATGTGATACTAGCTTGAACAATGCAAGTAGTGTATCAAAACAAGGCAGACATGCATGTGTTCTTCACACTATTATTTGCTGAGATTACGTTGGTTGGCGTTTTTCGTACTGGAGATGCAAGTTGTCAGATGCAAGTATGTAATGAATGCAGTGTATTATGTTATGAATAGCATGTTTTTAGGGATTTATATCACTACTTTTTATTATTGTGAATGGTAATTATATCAGATTTGGCATGGATGACTTGGACGACATAAAAACACAAAAACATTTGTATTAATATTCAATTTTTCGTCACTTTTTCAAGACCAGACAATCAACATCATGTGGTAAAAGCTTGTGGTAAAAATGACTCATGATTAATCGTACAAAGGTTGGGCGGTTAGGGTTTTTCGTACTCATAACTGATGTGTGCGACAAGACCTCACGACAATTCCATTTGTCATTGTGGTGCAATGTTTAAAACCCTCTATACAACATCTAAAATGGATTATTAGTACATATTATTGCGTCAAAAGTAACTGAAATACTTATTCTCTATTTTCTCTATGTAGATGAAGGTCTTATCGTTCCTACGTGGTAACATTCTCCTGATCGTCACAGTCCTCGCCGTAGTCGTGGGTGTGGTAGTTGGGGTAATATGTCGACAGTTCACCCCGACGGAAGAAACCATCCGTCTTGTGAAATTTCCAGGGGAGTTGTTCCTGCGGATGCTCAGGCTGCTGATGTTACCTCTGATAGTGGCAAGTATGATTACAGGTAATATACATGGACAACCAGTGAGTGAGTGAGTTAAAATTTTACGTCACAAGGGCAATATTTCAGCCGTAAAGAGACGAAAAATTGAAAATTAAACTATATTTAGTATGAATAAGAAGCTTGTCATCGATGGACAATATATTAACTAAAGTATCACAGATACACTATAAGACTAGTTGAGATCAGTCAAAAGAAAACATTACTAATCAACAAGACGATATTAAATGGGCTATAGATCGCCAGTAACTAAAGGTAGATCACAATACTAGGTAGGGACCATGGGGACTGCACAATCATTGACTCGGGAGGGAAGCAAAACATTGTTAGCCAAGATTGTGCATTCGAACCTGGCAAAAATGACATATGGAATACAAATTTTGAAAAATACTATGAATGTGGATAATAAGTATAAATTGTAAGAGCCTAAACTGCTTCTGGATTGCATGGAGGGTGATACAGTTCATGCAGTAACGGGCAGGTAATAAGTATGCAATATCCCCATGCAACGTGCACAATGTAGGAGTTTTGCACATGGTATTCAGACTCATCGTTTTGAATGTGAACAGCACAAAATGATTGTTTAGCTATCAGATATTGATAAAACCACATTTTAACTAGAGCCTAAGCAATGCCACAATTACAATACTTCTTTCCGACAGGTTGCAAACCCCATCCCTGTCTGAGTAGTCCTGAGTGTTGTCCATTCTGGCTCCTATATAGAAATTTTCAGATGACCATCATAACACAAACTAGTCGTGTATTCCCTGTCTGCATAAAACTACAGTATAATATGGTCCGTGTGTAACTTGATAATCCATATATCCATCTCTATGTGAAAAGAGCTCTTTAAAGACAAATATTATCAAAGCCTCAATATTATGCGTCTTACTTTAAGAATGTGAGCTTGAAAGCTTCTCATTTAATTCTAATAACAGTTGGTTGAAGGATAATAGGAAGGAACAGAAACAATTTTATATTCATTTGTTAGGCTTGGGGAACATGAAGGGAGCTGTTGCTGGAAGGATTGGCTTGCTGGCTATGTTGTATTATATAGCTACTACTGTTATTGCGCTGCTGATAGCATTGGCGTTGGTACATGCCATCAAACCAGGCAGTAACTACTCTCGAACCATCACAGTAGACACTTCCCAAGTAAAAGACGTATAGACATCTGGCACGGACATGGTTTTGGATGCCATCAGGTATGTTGCGGATTTTCATAAAGCATGACCCTGGTATTTTTGCTTATGGATATATTGTTAAAAAAACAACGTTTTTTCATGAGTGTGAAAAAGGATTAGATTATTTTTGAGTGAGAAAGTTTAGTTTTACGCCTCACTCAGCAATAGTCCAGCTACATGGCGACGGTCTGTGTATAATCGAGTCTGGAGCAGACAATCAAGGGATCAACAGCATGAACGGATTTTTTTTTAAAAGCGGCAATGTTTGCAGTTTTGTCATCGTCTTTGCTCTTTGAACCTATCCGATCGGCGGAGAGTCAAAAAAGAAACTTCACAAAATGTAATTTTTTTTAAAATAATGATTTTTTTTTCTCTGATGATACATCTATGTATCTGAAATGGGATCCCTATCTTTCGACTCTAGAAAAACGTGAGCAAAACCCACTCAAACCCATCCATTCGTCGTGCAAATGCCGTTAGTGTCAAATCAGGTTTTGCACGTGCAATCGATCACGTGATCTTCGCATCGAAGTTTTCTTCATATGCACGTGTTTGCATTGGCCTCAAGAATTGAAAAAAAACACTTTTAAACCACAGTTCTAACAGTACTTTAAATGCCACGATTGTCAAATGTGCAACGTGAACGTGCCGATGGCATGTTGCAATCTGGAAGATCAGTTATTAACATCGCAAGAGCAATGGGATGCAGCCGTCGTACTGTGTATGACTTGCGAGGTCGTCTACAACAAACTGGCTCCACTTCTGATCGCCCAAGGTCGGGTCGTCCACGTGTGACGTCACGAGCAGAAGACCGTCAAATCGTCCTACGTCACCTACGTGACAGATTTCTGCCGGCTACACGAACCAGGGCTGAGATGTTTAGAGGTCGACTGTCCTCACAGACCATTCGAAATCGGTTGCGGGCTGCCAATCTCCATACTCGACGTCCATATCGTGGGCCAATATTGACGCCGTTTCATCAACGTCAACGTCTGCTGTGGGCCCAACGTCACCTCCGATGGACCCAGAGAGACTGGAATCGAGTCGTTTTTAGCGATGAATCCAGGTTTACCCTCAGATTCGCGGACGGCAGGCATAGAGTCTGGAGACGACGTCGTGAACGGTATGCCCAATGTTGTGTACAGTAAGTCGACAGATTCGGGGGCGGAAGTTGCATGGTGTGGGGTGCTTTCTTTCCCGACTTCTGGTCATCCGTGGAAACCTAACAGCTGCTGCTTACCGCGACCAGGTGCTAACCCCTGAACTCGTTCCTTTCATGGCGGCTCATGGCCCAGGTCTACAGTGTCAGCATGATAATGCTCGGCCGCATACCGCGATGTTGACACGAAATTCAAAACGCTGAAATCAACGTCATGGACTGGCCATCGAGGTCCCCTGACCTTAATCCAATAGAGCACGTTTGGGATGCACTTGGGAGAAGGCTTCGTGGTCTTAGGAACCAACCTCAGAATTTGCAGGAACTTGGCGCTGAACCACGTGTTCACAAGCATCAGGCAGTCGATGAGGAGACGGTGTTTGGCAGTGGTGAATGCGCGGGGCGGCCATACACAATATTTAACTGTGAAATTTCGAATTTTTATTCTTGTGACTTGACATTCTGTATACCCATGTTTTGGAACGGCGGTGTAGCCTAATGGAACTGATTATGGCACTGTCAGTGTATCGAGTACATCACAAGATCTCAGCAATGAAATTATAACAATTTACAATCCGTTTTTTACTCGTCCCACAGGTTCCCGAATTTCACTTTCATAACACCTGTTATCATCACTGTTTGATAGTGATTCCTAAACATATGCTCTGCCATCGTATGCCATGATGTCAATCAGTTGATTGTCTCGTCCAGACGCGATTCGTTACAGACGCGTAATGCTGCTGAATGTTAAACTGTTACATACTCACGACACAGTCAAAATTGTACAATCGACTGCCTTTAGCACAGAAGTCTTATGAATGTAGATTTAATTTAATAGGAGATAATAGGGGCTTGCCCCCTTATGTAGTCTTAAACACCTTCCCGAATGTTCCATAGAACGTTGGATTGAAATGCCATACGTCAGCAAAAGCCTTCCAGAATATTCCAAACAATGCTCCATTAGTTTGTCTCTGCTGTCCAGACTGCTCTTGACTTCAGAGTCATGAAAATATAATACCCCCTACACCACTACTGACACCAGATAGTTCTACATTCCTGATGACTAAATATTTTAAGACACAATGGTATGAATGAATTCGAACCTCTACTGAATCACTGCTAAAATCAATGCACAACACTTAAAACATTGTTTGACAATGAATTACACAAACATATTATAAAATATATGTTACGATTACAGAAACGTGTTCCCTGACAACATTGTTGGTGCCGCCATTCAGCACACCAGAACCATAACGACTGATGGAGATGAAACAGTAGAATTAACCAATGCAAGCATAAAAGAACAAAATGCTGCATTGAACATCACAAGCAACGACCCGTTGCTGATGAAGAAGACAGTTGTTATTGGGGGTGTTAATGTTGTTGGTAAGTTCTTTCCTCAATCGCTGTCGGTAAGTATTTTAAAGTGACGAACAGTACAATTATAAATTACAAAATGCAGAATTGAGGTCACAAGAATATTCAAAGTATACGTGAAAGAACTTTTGAGCTGAAAAGAAATCGAAGAAAGTATATTTCAAAGTTTCATGGCATCTTAGCACATAGCTGTACCCCTTCAAATTTATGTGGACACAATCAACAGTGTCGAATACGTCGTGAGAGTCACACAGATATTACGCTTAAACATTTTGATCACAGTGTCTTCATCTAAAATCTTTAAAATGTATTTCCGGAGAGCGGAAGGTTGCGGGTTCGATCCCTGACTGCGTCATACCAAAAGACGTTCAAATATGGTACTTGTTGGTCCCTGCCTGGCGCTCGGCATTAATGGGTACAGCAAGGACTGGTCGGCTCGGAGTCAGTATAATGTTTCTGAGTTGGGTATTCATGCTTCACTGCGGCATGGTATCTCAGTGGGCTAGCACTATAAAACCAGCTTAAGTCTGGGCTAGTACAAGCAGCCGCACATACATATACACACGCATGCACGTCGTCATATGAGCGAAATGTTCTCAAGCACGACGTTAAACCCAATTTCACCTCACCTCACCTTTAAAACGTATTTAATTAGTAATATAGTGAAACCTCGCTAATACCGAATGTAATATTTAGAAAACAAACACTGCTTTCTCAGCCACTGTTGGAATGCTTTTTAAACCAAGTTCAGAGTCACCAAAGTACAAGAAGTAAGCATGACAAAGCATTTTGGGCTGACAACGCTGTAGAAATCGACGGAAAAAGTCTGCTTGAAGCTACTCAATTTAAAAATGATGTTCTGTTCTGAGCTGAAACAATCATTATGTGTCAAATAAGTCATGACTGTCATTGAGTTTTGCTCAAAAGCTGTGTGATCATGGTTACAGCAAGTAAGACATCAATAAAACTATAAAAGAGTAAAATAGCTTATGGTAGACACGCGAACGACATTTCTATATTTTTTAATATCAGGGATAAAACATTGTAAGATGAATTTCGCTAATTTGCTTGACCTGGCTTTGCTTGTGACAGTGTACCAGAAGCATGGTATCATTACTGGAAGTGATTCATAAACTTTGTTTTAGTAGAAAATTCTCTTGATTACGGAAATGGTTTTCATACAGTTGTATTTTCAGGTATATTGACATACTCTGCGGTCTTTGGAGTATTTCTCGGCCGAATGGGAAAACATGGATCCGTGGCACTGCGGTTCTTCAATGCCATCAACACTGTCACCATCCATATGGTACAACTTGCTATGTGGTGGGTCAAATGGTCAACAATTGAGGAATACTCACACGTCAGTCTTGATTAATGACATTGATCAAGGTCCAAACTTCAGTATAACTCTAAATACGTCAACAGAACCAATATGTTTCTATCTGATTGGAACAAGGTGCCAGCGAATATATTTGCATACATACATAATATCTTCAACAGTGCCATGACAATAGACTGAGTTTTTAAGAAGCCAATGATTCTGTAACTGTATAAGTTGCCAAACTTGATTTGATGGGTTGGGAATTTTGGTTGGTTGTCTGGTGGGGGGGGCTGATTTGCTGTCTGCCTTGACTGTGGAGGTTTTATGTTCTTTTATGCGAGTCTCAACGGGACGGGAGGTTTCACCTACATGGCTTTCACACTTGTTTTTCCCCAACTGGCCTCATCCAATTATGTGCCATTTGTTATTCAAGTACATGCTGTTTGTCACAATATACTATATTTATCTGATGTGTGTCACAACATACTATGCATATATACTTCTCATTACTTGGTTGTAGTCACTTTTAGCTTGATAACGGTGTAAAAATCTACATCCAAACGTCGATATGTACAATAAACAAGCACAGCACTATTTTTAGATTATGTTTGTAAAGTAAGATGCCAATACAAATTATGACCACTGTTTCAAGAAACTGCCAAAGTTTGTGACTGTATTATAGGCCATGAGGCCAATATTACGAATACACTTCTGTCTGTCCTAAACAAGAATTGTCTTCCATAAAGTCATTTTTTGACACTGACATTGTCTTACATACATTCTCAAGGGGACAATAACATACTGCTAGAGGTTCGGGGGACCTGTTACTACCAGGGGATGTGATTGTATTGTTGGCATGTTCGTTACACTTGTGAAACAGGTGACTTTGACACAAATCCTGGACTTCAGAGTGAAACTTCGTTTCAGACGTATTTATAACAACACGTTCAGTCAAGTGAAGTGAAACTGGCTTATAGCATGTTCTCAGACAGTCTGATGTCAATACACACTGCGTGCTGTTCTCAGGTGGTGTCTTCGTTGTGTTTCACAGGTTCTCCCCGCTTGGCACAATGTCCATGATTACAGGTGAGTTGTTGTCTTCAGTCAGCCTGAGTGAGACAGGTGAAGTGTTGGTCCTCTACATCGTCACTGAATTAACAGGGCTGGTCGTCCATTCCTTACTTGCTACGCCTTTACTGTATTTGGTTCTAACCAGGACTAATCCGTTTCGTGTTCTCGGGGCGGCTGGACAAGCTCTCATAACAGCCTTTGCAACATCGTCGAGGTAGTATAATGTTTCAGAATATCACCACATTCAGCAGTAAATGCAGGATCGCGCACGTTCCACTTTTGATTGGGCTTATCAAATGTAACATAGGTATATAAATGAAATGTAGATAAAAGTCAATGTTTATTTTCAACTGTCAGTAAATCATGTCATTGGGCGCCAACGTTGTGTCTGTGATATGTTCACTTGTGTTTAGTGTGTATAGTTTTTTATGTGGTTTTGATATAGTGATAGTGTGATATCTGTATTATGTTTGCAGTATGAATGTATGTGGTATGTATGGTGTTTGTATGGTGTGTATATAGTGTCCTGTCTACATAATGTGTGTCATGGCTATAATATAATGCATGTAGGGTGTCTGTGTGATGTCAGTGTGGTGTCTGTATGATGTGTGTGTGATGTCTGTAGGATGTCTGTGTGGTGTGTATGGTGTCCGTGTGATGTCTGCGTGATCTGTGTGGTGTCCTTGTGGTGTCTGTATGATGTCTGTGTGAAGTCCGTGTGATGTCTGTATGATGTCTGTGTGATGCCTGCATAGCCTGGCTATGTATGCATGGTGTCGGTATAGTTTTTGTATATTGTAGCGTGTGTATGTTTGTGTGGTGTTTTATTGTTTCTATGGTATGTGTATGGTGTTTGTATGCTGTATATTTATATGGCATATATTATATGTGTATGTTGTCTGTTAAGTGTTTGTACGCCGTATGTTGGTATGGTGTCTGTATAGTGTTTGAATGCTGTATGTTGGTATGTAGCCTATTAAGTGTTTGAATGCTGTATGTTGGTAAGGTGCCTGTTTAGTGTGTGTATGCAGTATGTTGGTATGGTGTCTGTTTGTTAATGTTTATTGTGTTAGTAGGATGTTTGTGTGACGTTTGTATGGTGTCTATAAAGTATGCTTGACGTCCAAATATATGTCATGATATTACTCAATAAATTGTAAATATATAGGAAAAGATGGCATTGAAATAATTGGTTTTGAAAAAGCAGGAAAATGTCAAATAAAAAACAACTCATTTTGTTTTCAAGCTCCGCCACCCTTCCAGTGACAATACGGTGTATGGAGAAGAAGTTGAAAGTGCCCCACAGCATCAGCAAGTTTGTCCTCCCTATAGGGGCTACAGTCAACATGGATGCTGGGGCAATATATTATGTTTGTGCGCCTGTGTTTATCGCTCAGTACAGTGGAGTCAGCCTTTCGGTGACGAATATAATCATAATAAGGTACATGTTCAATCTCTTATCAGACTTGATGTATTTATCTCGTATGTTGCCATAGTGCGCTTATTGCACTGCATCTCACTTAAAATGCCATCCAATACTCTCATCCAAAAACAAATGTACCATTTCATGTTAATTGATAATGTCCTACTCTATTTTGCTTTCAGTCATATAGGCATATCAAGGCTAAATCAGCGCAATACCATAACCATATCACAGCCATATTATGGATTAATCAAAATCAATATCATAGCCATTACGAAGCCATTACATACCCTTGTCACAGCCTGATCACACAGGAATCATTGCCGTATCCATACCTTTTCACAGCCATGTTTTAGCCATAGGCATGCCATAACCACATCATACATGGCCACATCACAACAGTATCCCTATATTAGCCACCACCTAATCTTTTCACAGTTCGAGGGGTTAGAGCCAGAACAACTTATAACCACACAGGCACATTTCGAGAAACAGCACTCAAATGTTTGGACAGTTATAAAAAAAACCAATAATCAATTCTTGTTTACTGTTTTGTGACTAGGTGACAGAGTATGCTGGTGCATTCATGTTACTATACAACCATAAATATAATCAGCCTAATTAAATAGGTATGACGAAAATAAACTTTAGCTTGTTCTGGCGTAAATGTAAAACACTCTGGGCTCTGTAAACATGAGAGCGAGAACCAGTTAAATTAGAAACACAGTGTATGGCAGTTAAGAATATGTTGAGAATATGTCTGTCCCCGAGTCAAGAATCCGGTTATCTTTAAACAGGGGATTGTGGCATAGTTTGCGGATACGATTTCCTTGTGTCGCAGTTTCCACTAACTCGGGGAGCATTATCTTTGCCCCAACAATTGTATCAATGCGGAAGCCAACTAAAAGCAATGACACCTGATCTCAAGATCACCCATATCATCACAGCCAGCCAACCACTGTTTCCTCTAAGCCCTGTAGCCATATCCTGCGGTAAAGCTGCTCTCGGCAGTATCCCACACTCTCAGCTGGTGGCTGGAACCATTAACCAGCAGTAACTGCCTTTCTGTTATTGAATGCATTTTACTTATAGCTCGCCTTAAATTGTGCTTGTGAGATTTTATCTTCACATGTTGTTATCACTGAAGACATCAGTAATTGCTTAAACTACCTTCAAGACTATCTTTTAGACTTTTCTGTTAGATGACAACAGCGTCTCAATACTTTCAACATAGTTCCACAATGCATCATTACCGTGTACTTCTTTATTGAAGAATAAAACCAATTACTATAAGACATTGTAAGTGTTTCAGTATTTTTAACTATTTCAATATTATATTACATGTAAACAGAAATTCATAAAAAGTATAGTTTCAAATTAATGAATAGAAGAAAATCAAGCACAGTCACACACATACACATAATACGCAACCACAGATAAGCCCATTGCATATTAAGTCAAATTAGGGATAAATGTAACGATCTGAGTAATAATTTAAGCCGCTTGGTATATAGAGTATCTTACCCGAGTGTCTTTTGATATCAAATATATCACCACGAGTTGATAAAGTAACAAATGTCCGAGGCTTGCCGATATTTTACTTTGATAAACGAGTGTTGATATATTTGATATCAGAAGACACGAGGGTGAGATTCTATTTATCATCAAAAATCACTCTTCCTTAGCTTTCAATGAAAAATGTACTTCATGTGACGTCATCAAGTTCATGACGTCATATCATTGTCAGGGCATTGTGCAAAATTTACACTCAAAACGATATGTCCTAGGAGATATCGTCTGATCTCACACAAGCAATGTCTCCTGTGGAACACAGTTTTGGATGATAAAACTTAATAGAACTATGACACTAGACTATGACATAGATGAAGGCTAAAGACTTTTGATACTAAAAATTAAGTCTGTTATAAGTGAATCAAGATTACATCACACAGATTAGATAGAACACTGAATAATCACATTAGGTATTTGATGACATAGATATGTCATGTTAGATATGTGACATGTTAGATATAATAATGAGTAGTATTTCCTTTCGTTAATGATTTGATGACGTCTCAAAATGTAAATGTCATTTTTTGAATTGAGAATTAATATTGATATCCACCTCTTAACACTATTTCATACTCTTTATACTGTTAAATAACTTATAGGAAAAGGTTTACATAACTTTGTGGTCTGGTGGAAAAAAGTGATTTGTGTGAAATATGTGTGCAAGTTAAATTTGCAAAATGAGGAAATATATAGCAGAACACTTTACAGTAAATGAGGAGTCAGGAAATAATACAACATAACATGTTCTTGGAAACATGGCATGCCATTTGAATGAAAGTGACTAAGAAATATATAAAACCAGACTATGACACTATGATTATTACACTATCCTCACCCATGTCCACAATCATATTATAACATACACCATGTAATAGCACAAAGCAACGACTGTTGTTTCAGTGTCGTAGCTTTAGTGTGTATCGGTGTCTGTATCCTGCTCCAAGGCGTCAGGAAGGGGGAGGCATTCTACTTTGTCAGCATCTGCCAGGAGTTCTTTGTAATAGTTGTGATACTCTCTGGGTATAATACCCGACCGACAGAGTGACATGAGATCTTTTTTCTTGGCTGAGGAAATTGCTCGTTTTCCCGAGTACCTTCGGGTCAGAGGTCCACAGATACTCTGAGGACTTCCCCGGTGGCTGCCTGTAGACACTTTTAGTTCTCCGAATGGCTCATTGCTGTGCTCAGACTTGAAGAAGATGTTTTCTGGGTTGCCTTTAATGTAGCGCATCCAGCACATTGACAACCAGTTCACACGACCACCGTCTGTAGGCGCATCACTCTGTTCTGGTATATATATATATATATATATATATATATATATATAGGCGCATCACTCTGTTCTGGTATATCTATAGGTGCATCACCATGTACTTGTATGTCTATATGCGCATCACTCTGTTCTGGTACGTCTATACGCGCATCAGACTGTACTTGTATGTCTATAGGCGCATCAGTCTGTTCTGGTATGTCTATAGGCGCCTCAGACTGCACTTGTATGTCTATAGGTGCATCACCCTGTACTTGTATGTCTATAAGCGCATCAGTCTGTTCTGGTACGTCTATAGGCGAATCAGACTGTACTTGTATGTCTATAGGTGCATCATTCTGTGCTGGTATGTCTATAGGTGCATCACCCTGTACTTGTATGTCTATAGGTGCATCATTCTGTTCTGGTATGTCTATAGGCCCATCAGACTGCACTTGTTTGTCTATAGGCGCATCAGACTGCACTTGTATGTCTATATGTGCATCACTCTTTACTATTGTGTCTGTAGTATCATTACTCTGTGCAAGTATGTTTGCAGGCGCATCACTCTGTACTGGTATGTCTGCAGGCGCATCACTCTGTACTGGTATGTCTGCAGGCGCATCACTCTGTACTGGTATGTCTGCAGGCGCATCACTCTGTACTGGTATGTCTGCAGGCGCATCACTCTGTACTGGTATTGCACACTGCTGTGGTAAACATCTGGGCGTAGTATCCATCAGCTGTATTGATACAAACTGGGTTTGATTATCCTCAGTGGTATGATCTGGTGCTGGTATATCCACTGACTCATCCTCTTCATCATTTGCGTCATACTGTATTGGCATATCCGATAGTTTATCAGATTGTGATGGGGTATCCAGTCACACCCCACATGGGTTTGGTTCATGTTGAATATAGTCAGAATTGACTGACATATTAGTGGCAAGTGACCAACTTTTTGCTATGGCAAAGTCAGATTGTAATAATTCATCTTCATCTGCGTCGGACCATAATTCAGACATCTTACATAGACCTAAAACCAGAGTACTAAACTAAGGGACTGGCTAATATCACACACTGAATTTGATAACACTAACACTCAATAATCAAAGCAATTTAGTTTCAATTTTAATTAGTGCTGGGAAATAACTTTTATACAGACAGCAAATCTCGTAAGTGAAATACAAGTATATTACCACACTCATGTGTGTTATATTTAACAAGTACTTATTTTCTATTTACAGATATGACTTACCTGTAATGTCTTAGTGGGATATCCGTACTGTAAATGTTCCTAATATAAACGCACACTTTAGTAAATAGCTCCTCTCCCAAGGTTCAAAATAAACTAACCTTGGCTAGTGTGAAACAAACCCTGTAAACAGCTGGGAGAGGCACGCTTATATATGGCCACAACAGAATAACAGTAATTAAGACCATCTGATCCCGGAGAGAGGTCCTTATCAGCTGTAAGTCTAAAGAGCCAGAACATTCCTTCAGCATATCAGTTGTTTTAACCGGTAAGGGAAATTCTTGATGGACACCACACAGTCTGCCAGAGGCGACTGCTGCCAGTTAAGGGTTTATGGCATGAGAATATCAAGCGTGGCTACAGCAGTTGAGCAGGACTGAACGGTGTATATTAACATAGCATAACCTGGTCTATACCAAAAGGAGAGATAATTGATAAGTTGTTTGAACTCTAATGCATAACCACCTAATTAAGCCCCTGATTGCTATGGGCTTTTTTTTATGAGTAACACATCAGTATGTGAGTGCATTAATACCCTTACCTAAATTTGACAGAATTATTTACTTAAGGTGTTCTGGCACTAACCCCTCGAGTTATACCACGGCCATATTACAGTCATGTCACAGTTCAGTTAGAACCATAACCAGACCATATCAGAGACTCTGCATAAAATTTCATAGCTATAAGTCACATCATATCTCCACACATTGTCATTTGATGACCTATTACTGCAGACAGGCGTTTTATGATTTGATGTATTTTGTAAACTTGAAAGATATGAAGAAGCAATCAATTTTTAAGATGAAATACCGTGGAATATGATAGAAAATAAACAGGCGAAGTTCAGTAGTGCACAGCAGTATATATAAAATGAACTCCACAAAATAATAACACAACGCTTATCTCACCTGTATCTTAAGGGAGAGTTTACATGTAAGAGATTACTAGTAGATTTTGACACTCTATAATGATGTCACAGTATAATGTTCACAAATGGCAATAGTGATATTCATAATGGTAAATACAAAGTTCAATTATATGTTTACCTATTCAAAGATGGAAAAACATCAATGAAACAGTCTGAAAAATTGTCTTCCTTTTTATGCGACATTGTATCAGATGTATCCTTTTTGAAAACGGTAAAAATATCTAAAATTTTGTTTCAATTCTCGATGCGCATTTACGTGTATCGATGTGAGCGCTTAAATGAAGGCACCTTGTTCTGAGGTCCTTTATTTGTTGTTTATGGACATTCATTCCGGCCTTTAAGCACTCTGTTTTTGTCCAATGTATTTCTCATGACACCCTTGGCTTATTATAAAAAAATTGTGGAGCAGTCCAGGTTAGAGTGTACATAAAATAATTATCACCTATTTTTTACAGGAATTTTCAACTATGTATTTACAGAAGAATGAAGACAAATTTTTTTTATGGATATACAACTCTTTATTCTGTATAGGCGACATTTCGACAGATTCTATTTCTAATGTCGTTGTCAAGCAAGATGTCACGTCACCACTCGCTTAACAACGACATTAGAATTTATGTCGAAACGTCGGCTATACAGAATAAAGAAGTAACTCTTCTATATCCGATGAAAATGTCCTCACTCTTCATTGCCTCAACTTCTAGAATGCCAGTCAAAGAAGTATATATTTACAATTTCCCGGTTTACAACGTGACAATGTGATGCCCTGAATTCTGTAGACATAATTCATGAGTCAAATTTGACACGTGTTTACCTCAATTTATTCTTATCTTTGTAATATTGCCATAATTCGATTTATTTTAACAGAATTTAAAGTTGGAACATTTTATCGATTTCTTCCTTATCCGGAACTTTTAACAGTAGCTGGAGCTGTTGCTGTATGACGCGACAGTGTTTGTGAACGTTACAATGTGACGTCATTAGATACAGTTGGAACGCGTGGGGGGTTGGGGATGGTGGTGGTGGGATTCGTGATGTGTTGTTATTTTGTGGATATGTACCTTTAAGACAAAAGGAGCGCACGCCTCTTCCTGCAGTCACGTTCATAATTCAGATGTTTGTGATTTATTCTTATGAATTCATATCCAGTATGTTTCAATAAGGGTGTGTAAATCTAAACTGAATTATGAAGGTAGGACTAGTCACAAAGCATGTTGGGCACATATAGAGATTGTATGCTCTCAGTTTGACAGCTATCCTGGGCAGTATCGGAGCAGCTGGGGTTCCCGGTACAGGCATCACCGCTCTGCTGCTTGTTCTGAACGCTGTGGGACTTCCAGACACGGGGATCTCGTACTTGCTCACCATTGACTGGTTAACGTATGTCCATTCTATTGTCGACAAATTTAGTCTAATTTAGCGTCATATTTTTCAGCAATATTACGAGAGAGCAATTTATGAATTTAACATGATCTCAGAATTACATGTCATGTATCATAAAAATCTACAGGGCTTACAGTTTACTATAACAATTACATACATCGATCTTTAAACACAGACAACGAGTCAGGGAGGACCACATCTTCTCGATGTGTATATTTTTTATAAAAAACTACATGAATTATAATATTCTGATTTATTTCTACAACAGTTGTAACCTGTTTCGTATAATGAGTGTTCAGCGTAGTTCAGCGATCTTGGGCAGCATACGTCTCTGCTATTTAATCACAACGATAGAGCCGATCACGATCCTTGGATGAGTGAGTATAGTTTTACGCTACACTCAGCAATATTCCAGCTATATGGCGGCGGTCTGTAAATAATCGAGTCTGGACCAGACAATCCAGTGATCAACAGCTGGAGCATCGATCTGCGCAATTGGGAACCGATGACATGTGTCAACCAAGAAAGCGAGCCTGACCACCCGATCCCATTAGTCGCCTCTCACGACAAGCATAGTCGCCTTTTGAGGCAAACATGGATTGCTGAAGACATATTCTACCCCGGATCTTCACGGGTCCACGATCCTCGGTCTGTCAGAATAACGCCATGGTGAAGCAACGGCATTGGTCTCTCTTTTAACAGCAAGGTGACACAAACACAGTAATAACGTGAACCATTTTGTTATAGGGATCGCATCCGGACTTCGGTGAACGTGGCTGGAGATTGTCTGGCAGTTGGCGTTGTCTCCCACTTCACCAAGGAAGCATTTGCCAAATCCAATGTTCTTTCACTAGAGGAGCAAGATGAAGATTCGAATTCGTGTGCGAATGAGAATGACGTAATAGTCCTGTAGTCTTCAGCAACTTGTCAAATTCAGCTCCAACTGTGAATTATTTAATCTAAGGCAATGCAAGTAGGCTGTTTCATACATGTACAATGATAGCAATGAGCTATGTTTACGTGATTGGAGTGCGATGACATAAACCTTTGGTAGGTGTGTAAACATCAAAAAAATTTAGTAGCCAGCACAAACATTGGGTACTTTAGGCCTTTCCGAAGTGAGAAATGAAGTTCTTTCGTACACAAGTGTTTCATGTTAGTCACATATTAACTGTTGTTTTCACCTTACTTACATAATGGACAATTAGTGCCAAATTAGTAAAAAATTTTGTAAAACTTGGTCCTCTGGGAATTCACGTTTCGACAAGATCCCCAGCCATCTATGTTGACCGTAATAGGCAACTGAAAGGTTCAGTGACTTGGTTGATTGTACTAAGAGAATCTGCTATATTTATCTTCTACGAAGGTGATATCAAAATATATCAAATATTATATAGTTTTCCATATATATATATATATATATATATCTTACATGTGGAGATTGTCAGTGATTAACAACCCTCTGTTTACCAATGACACAACTTTCCGTTTTGTATGTTTAAGCTGTTGTAATTGAGTTCACAATAAAGGGGAGTTGCATGACTGTAATTTGTCTATTTGTCTTTTTTTCAACCTCGATGAAAACACAAAGTGTTCAGATCCCAGGTCAGCAATGAATGAATCGGCATTTTGTGAACAGAGTACTGTTAGCTTAATTTTCTCAGGACGGATTTATGTCACGTCATGTGTGTTTGGGGGGGCATTGGGATTTATGGTAAGATATACATAGATTATTCCGCACTCAGTGTCGTGTGTGTGTGTGTGTGTGTGACGAGCGGACGCTTTAACCACTAGGCTACACCACCGCCCGCATCTTATATAGAGATACACTAAGATGAAAGAACTTAGGAAAGGAAGAAGTCGTGACCTTGAAAGGATGTGCCAATGTGTCCCTCACCTATTATATATAATATTTTAATAAGTTCCATTAGTTTCATTCTTTTTATAATTTCCTTAATTGATCTCTCTATTTTGTTACAACTCCACTGCAGACAGGAGTTTTGCGAGTTCGATACGAGTTCAAATTTCACAGATATAAACAACCTTCCTGAAATTAACAGTATTTATAAGTTGTATGCTTCTCTCGAGGGTAATACGGTCTGATGTAAGCCTCTTTGTAGCAGTGTCACAAGGGCCGGTAAGCGAGGGATGACACTGCTACGAAAAGGCGTACATCAGACCGTATTACCCCTGACAGTGGAGAAAGGGGCCAACTTAATTTATGTATATAACAGAAACTAGTATTTATTTCCTAAATAATATTTTGATATTGGCTGGCATTGCACACAGCCACTGGCAAACAAAGTGAAATCCTGTTAGGAATCTTGCAGGAAACAGAAGAACCCTTAGTCCCCATGATCCCCAGTATGGTGGCCCAGCTTTGGCTGCTAGTGGTCTATAGCCTAGTTTAATCTATACATATCTTGAAACTTTTAATATTGATGTAGTTGATTTCATACCTACAACCGTGATATGTACCTTACGGTCCTTTGTAGGCATGAAATAATAACTTGTTCTCATGGCTGCAATGAATATTGCCGATGTAAAAGTTTAAAGCTCTCACTATACCAAGTTTCATTGATCGAACACTTACTGTAGTGATTTTAACCCACAGCGTTTAAATCTTAGACCTTGTCAGTCAGAACAGGCAGGTGGCTGGGAGTGAATCGTTGTATTTGTGGTATATATCGGTGTATTTCGTGCATTCTACCAATGAGAATAGTAAATCGCCACCATTCGCTTAAAGTTCAGTTATGACAGAAAAGGTTCGAGAAGCATGGTAACTGCCTCACTAATCTCACCATATTTTGCCATTCGTAGCAGTGCATATAATATTAAACGATGTTTAAGATCATAATCTTTAATTTGACTTTGCGCACTCTGCTTTAAAGAGACATTTTCAGGGGACCGTACATGGTCCCATGACACTAAGGGAGTGTGAGTAGAGGTTTATGTCGAAATCGTCGTTAAACTTTTATGCCCTCGGGGTGATCAGTCAGTCAAGAAAAGATAGTGGCTGGAACATATACTACCCCTATATCCCCATGGAACATTGGATGCCAGCGCTGGTGTTTTTCTTTCCGAACGGGCGGAGGGGTAGTCTGATGGTTAAAGCGTCCGCTCGTGACGTTGAAGACCCAAGTTCACTTCTCCACAGGCGTACAATGTGTGAAGCCCATTTCTGGTGTCCCGAGCCTTGGTATTGCTGTAATATCGCTTACTCGCGAAATCACTTACGAACTCACGAAACAAATCGAAATACACACACACACGCAATAAATGCACACATTTAAATTACACTCGACAAATTGTCGTTCGGATATGCATTACTGCAGTACTGACATTATTCATGAAACAGTCAAAGATAAATAAATAATTCAGTCATAAAACGATGTAAATAATCTTAATGAAGGTATGGGTAATTATGGTGGATTTATAGTTCTGAGTCAGTGTTGCGTGGAATAAGTGCTGCGTCAGTGTCCTGGTTATTTAAGCAGCGTACTGCACCCTACTAACAGACAATAGAGGCAGTAGGGCCGAAAACAAGCACGCTTGGACAGATCAGATACAAATTGACAAGGGAAGTGGTTCAACTGATGGTGAGTCTGCGTTAGTTTTCACATTACTTTGACAAAATATTGTACAGGTGAATAGTTTGCATTGTGATTCACACCTGTATCTCCATTCCCCACCTAGGAACAATGTGTTAAGCCCACTTCTGGTGTCCCCCCGCCGTGATATTGCTGCAATATTGCTAAAAGCGACGTTAAACTAAACTCACTCTCTCTGTCTCCATCATTAGTTAATTGTATTTGAACTGTATGTTGAACATGTACATTTGTATTTGTTGCTTAACATGTTGCCGCGCTCGGCAGTACTCAAGTTGTAGGATTTTTCCATCACAAGACATAACTAAACTAGTGCTCAAAAGAAAGTACGCAGTGTGTTTGACCAAACTTGAAAACAAAAACGTATATAAATAAACATCTGTTAATTTCTACAGATTATTCAATTATACAGCAAATGTACACAGTGTCATTTCATAAAAAGTCGAAAGTAACGCTTGGGTGACACTGAAATTAAAGGCACGTGGTATCATAGTCTGAACTTTTATGAGGGGCTGTCAAAAGGTTTTGAGCCTAAAATGTTTCTGACATGTACATGATAAACATAACTGTATCATATTGAATCATTCACATAAACGTAATATTGACAAGCACATGTCTCTAGTTTCCGGTCAGATGACATCTAATTACACGTACCCCTATTGAAGCGGCAGAAATGGATAAGCTTGAGTACAGAGCAGTCATAAAGATTTCAGTATGTTAAGATTGTTTGCAAGATATCTAAAGAATAGTGCACTGGATTTTCTTCATAGACTTTCAAGACTTCTCTTGAATGTTTTATGATAAGCAACACGGAACTATTTGGTCTTCGATGACCACCCGGCGAAGCACATTAAAGAGCGATTGACAGCAGTATTGCCCATTGCCTACCACCATCAAGCGATGGGTGAGGTAGAGAGGTTCTTAAAGATGACCCCAGTCCTGGTCGGCCCACAACCAGCACCAGCCCGTAAAACATTGACCAGGTGCACACCCTTGTAATGAGCAACCGTCGAATCTCCATCCATGAGTTAGAGCAGACAAGTGTTATCTCATATGGATCAGTTGTAAGAGTATCCTGCATGAACAGCTCCACATGTCATAGGTCCCAAGAATGCTCACCAGCGAAACATAAGTAATGGGCCACCATAAGTAATGTCATGAAAACAAGATATAAACAAAACCCAGATGATTTAATTTCATTTTAAGTTAGTTACTTGTGTTGAAACGTAGATTCATCAGTATGACCCTGAGAGCAAACAGGAATACATGGAGTCGAAGCACGGCCAGTCTCCTCCCACTTAGAAGTTCAAGTCGTCCATATCGAGCATTAAGGTTAAAGCCACCATTTTTTCATCCACATAGATTACCTTACATGAGGAATGGGGAATATTATGGTACCCCACTGAAGAAAGTGAGACAGTCCATCAAAGAATAGCACCGTGGCAAAGCAAACTCAGGCGTGGTGTTCTGCTTCATAAGGACAACACTCCAGTCCATGCCAGTCGCGTTGCACTGGCCGCTCTCGAAAAATGTGGATTTGAAATCCTACCTCACTCACCCTATTCTCCAGACCTGGCACCAAGTGACTAACCCGTTTCCTATTCTGAAGAAGCACCTCCGTGGTAGGAAATTCATGAAATCACTACAGCTGTGGAGATGTGTCTACAGGACCAAGAAAAGGACTTCTATAGACAAGGCATGAATGCCTGGCAGACAAGATGGACCAAGTCATCGACCAAGTCGATGCGAGATAAATGGCGATTTCATCGATGTTCTGCCTCGAAATGTTTTAGGCTCAAAACCTTTTGATAGCCTTTCGTACACAAATCAACAATGCGTTTTTTTTCTGTAAAATGTCATCAAATGTTGCATCAAAAGTGAGTCTGACCACCATTGTCTTGCAACACGTCGCCGCATTGATGACGTGTGACGACGGATGACGTTAGGCGTGATACGTTGTCATTCCTGTAGGAGGCACTGTTCAAGTTGTTGAGCGGTGACAGGTGGCGCTGGTATTCTTCTGATTTGTCGATCCAGTTAGTCCCATAAGTATTCTATCTATTCATGTAAACTCTAAATGTACTACAGGCTTGTGGCCTTTTTTAAGTACTGAAATAAAGATTGATTGATTGAAGTATTTTATCAGATTCATGTCAGGACAACATGCTTGCCACGGCAAAACAAAGATGTTTGCGTTATGCGCTAAGTCGTTTGTCAGTCTTGCTGTATGAGACATTGCGTTATTGTGTTGGTAGACAATGCCACGTGGTTGTTGCTGGATAAATGGAAACACAACTGGTAGCAA